GAGGTGCCCTCAGGAGGTCCAGCAGTGGGGCCAGAACACCAGAAGCCCTCCCACCAAGGGCGTAGACTTTCCAATTTCCCGGGGGGGAGGGGGTTGGGCCAGAGGCACTGCTAAGTCATTAAATGAACTGGGACCCAATGACATCATAGGGAGGAGCTAGTGACATCACAGGCCATGGTCACTATCTACGGAGATGAACCCATGTGGGATTTAGAGAGGCCTGGGAACCACCCTAGTAATGTCCCTGGGCTGGGTTAACCCCAGGAACAGTTGCCTTCTTAGCACACTGCTTAGAAACTTAGAAAGCCCCACACACACTCCACACTGGAATAAGAACATAATATCAGGCCATACCACATTGCAATAAAGCCCCTACAACTGTATACAGAAATACTGAGCTTCCCTACCATTTGCCACAACTAGCCCACCACACAACCAGGATCAAGACTCCTAAGTGGACCAACAGACAGGCATACACTTGTTTGAGAAACTGAGTATTACAACACCTCTGGAACATTACAGATCAGTAGAGGCAGCACTGCACAGTGGTCAGAGCTGCAGATTGATGTGGGGAGACCCAGGTTTGTATTCTCACTCTGCTGGCTGAGTGACCCCGGGCCAAATCTCCCCTTCTCTACCTAACCTACCCCACAGGGTTGTTGTGAGGATGAAATGGAGACTCATGGGCAGGGTCCCCAGCTTCCCTGGCAGGAACACTATGTTAAGAAATCTCTCACAATTATGCAGCCATAGCAGGCAGGAGGGAAGGAGGCGAATACCTCCAGCGCCAGAGACTTGTAGAGGAAGAGTCAAACTTTGGGGACTCACCCGTGCACCAGAGGGCCAAGGCAGCAGGAGGCAAGAAGCCTGGGTGAGCTGGGCTCCTCCATGCCTGGCAGAAGATGAGGTGCAGAGGCGAGAGGTGGGCAAGCAAAAGAGGCACTCAGCCAGCCGCACAAGCTGCGTGCAAAGAAACTCCCGCCGCCCCAAGCTTCAGGGCTGCCTCGTTAAAGGAGTGCGGAGGCCACACTCGCAAATGAGAAAAAGCAAGCTCAGGGTTCGTGGGTCACATTTTGGGCTGTGGAAGAGGAACCGGCTCCATTCCTGGAGTTCTCTCTCGAGTTCCTGCGCTTTTGGCTTTGCTTTTTGCCAATCCGCCTCCCAAGACTGCTCCAGGTGCTCCGGCCTGAGGGCTGCTGGGGGCGGGGCTCGCGTGCTCATTTACTTGTGGAGCTGAGGCTCAATGTCTCCATCTGCTCTGCC